AGTGTCACTGCTCTGCACATACATTCAGAAAAATAAAAGGGCCACATCACGTGGACGTTTCCAAAATGACAAAATCAGGGAAGAACGAATGTGGCCAGGAATAAACAAGGAAGCAGAGTTACCCAGCGTGTTTCCTTTGCCAGAAGTGTGACCTTGTCTCTGCTGGGAAATGGTCATTCGTGAAAAGGGAACCTTGGCTACGTCCAACAGATGCTTAGAGGTGGAAGGGGATGAGGAGACAGAGGGGTTGGAATGAGATGGTCTTTAAGGTCCCTTCCAACCTAAACCATTCTGTGATTCCATGATTTTGTGAAGGAAGGATCTTGCAAACCCCCTGTGAGGAGGAGCGGTACCAGTGGCAGTGGGTTCAGAGGTGTTGGAGGCACGTAATGTGCTGGAGGGAATAACAAGCAACTGCATTCCTCCTTTTTGGGCTTTTCTTCTGAAACATCATTGTTAAGGAAGAGCTGCAGACAGGGAATTTCAAGGCCCAGGTGAAGTGGAAGGGTGACAGAGGCCAAAGAGGGGCTGCCCACACCAGGTCAGAGCACGCTGCGCTCGGACAATTTGAGGAAACAGAGCTTTTGTTTACACGGAGATTTGGGGGAATTTCTTTACTTCTGGAGAGCTGGGAGCTCAGCCCTGCTGCTTTTCCAGCTCCAACCACCCAGTGAAGGCACAGGGCAGAGTTCCATGGCTGGTCACCCTGGGAAGAGCCAGTCCGACCGGCTTGCCCGCAGCCCTGGAGCAGCCAAGCAGGAACACCAGCAGGAACAGCAGCTGCTTTCAACAACTGCCCATAAGAGTTTAGAAACCAAAAAAAAAGGTCAAAAAAAAAAGGGAGGGGGGGACCAAAACTAATTGAATAAACCCACGACAGGGAAGTAGCCGCTCAGCTTCACCGCTGATTTCCCGAGGATGCCCATTAAGTCATTTCATGGGAAAAGTATCCTGGTTTCCACCAAGCAGGGGCAGAAGGACCGGCGGGCTGGAAGCAGCGCTGCGGGCAGGTCTGGTAGGTATCATCCCTGTCCCGATGGAAGCGGCCGCGCGTTTCGGCACCTTATTTGGCTATTGCTGCCCGTGCGGAGCGAGGACTCGCTGCAAACAGTGGGAAGAGCCCTGGGGATGCTTGGCTGCCTCTGACGCAAGAGCCCCGCCGGTACATTTTTGACCTTGCTTTGCCTCTCGGCCGGGCGCTGGAGATCACGGTGCCTCTCCCTCCACACACCCACCGGCCGAGGGAAGGAGCCCCCGGGGATGGAAAGGGCAGGGGAAGCGGCTTCCCCGTCCTCAGGGAAAGAGAAAAAGAGAAACGAGCGGGTTTAAGGGCAGAAGGAACCGGCAGCCTCCGCTCACGGCTGCAATCAGCTGTACTAAAAGGTTACTCGCTCGGCGGAGCCGTATCCAATTGCATCAGCTGGGAACCTCGTCCAACACGCCGGGCTGAGAGTAACCCTTTCTATTTATTGCCCTATTGTTTGACGCTGGAGGAACACGGAGATACCATCTGGGAAAGCTTTGTTGTCGCAGACCGGCTTTCCCCTGCGCTCCAAAGTCACCCTCTAAGTTACACTCCAGCTCCCAAGTTCGGGAGGATGGAATGGGGGCTATGCTGACAGGGATTGAGGCCCCAGGAGGATTTGAGGGGGGAGGTCCGTCCTCCCGCTGTTCAGGGCAGCAGTCACCCAATCTCCTTCTGGCAGCATCAGCCTCGCTAACCCAAATCCTTGGATAAAACCTGTTTTAGTCTGCCTGAAGCAAGTTCAGGAAAGGTTTTATTAGTGCATATGATAAAGGAGAGAAACGTCCCTTTATAAATATCTCCACTATAACAGCAAAGTGAAAAGTGGAAAAACTTTATCCATTGAGGGGGTTTGTTGCCTCCACGGTGCCAAAGCAACCTGGTCTGGTGGAAGGTGTCCCTGACCATGGCAGAGGCTTGGAATTGGATGGTCTTCCAGGTCCCTTCCAACCCAAACCATTCCACGATACTACGTTCCTAAAGCTCCCACTGCCATTCAGTACATGGGATGCGGGAATGGTGCTCATGGAGCTTTGGGCTGGCAGATCCATCCCCGAGGCTGCCAGGGAAGGTACGGCTTTGCCGGGATGTGAATTCCCATCGCCCGGCAGAGTGCGGGACACATCCACCTCAAACCGCAGCCCCTTCCGCGCGTCGGTTTTTCAGGAAGCCCGGTTGCCTGGCGGGATGTGTGTATCACTGGGTGGAGAGCTACAGGAAGCGGATAATATTTTTTTTTTTCCTCCATTTGTGCCGCTTCAGACTCTTTTATTTAAAGACAGTTCCCATTTCCCAGATTCACAGATGATGAGGATGGAGGGAGCCAGCCCATCGCCCGGCCTGGGCACGGACATGGACTACTACACCAAGGTAGGGCTTTGCTGAACGGGAAGGATTTTGCCTATGAATTTGGGGCCAGTGTTAAAAAACACCCTAAAGGGTGCAGAGTGGGCACGGCTGCCATGTGTGTTTGGGACACCAAGGTTCCAGCAGCCCTAATGGATGCTCTCCTGGCTGGCTCCCAAGTTCCCCACTCTGCCTGTCCTGGGATCACTGGCCGTGAGCTGAGCCAGGACAAGTTAAGCCAGGATGAGCCCAGCTGGGATGAGCTGAGCCGAGCTAGGCTGGACAGAGCCGTGCTTGCCAGGCCAAGATGAACCCGGCAGAACCGGGCTGGGATGAGTCGTGCCGGGATGAGCCCAGCCGGGATGAGCCGAGGCAAGCCAAGCTAGGCTGGGCAGAGCCGGGCTGTGCCGAGCCGGGCTGAACCGGGCCGGGATGAGCCGAGTCGGGCAGAGTCGGATCGGGCAGAGCCGCGCTGGATAAGCCGGGCCGAGTAAAGCCGAGCCGTGCCGGGCCGGGATGAGCTGAGCCGAGTAGAGCCGAGCCCAGCCGGGCCGGGCAGAGCCGGGCCGGGATGACCCCAGCCGGGCCGCCCCCCGGCGATTCCCGGATGTTGGAGCGGCCCCCGCTTGCTCCGTCCTTCGCTTCCATAAAAGGCCAAGGGGCCCGGCAGCGCGGGACGCGTTTTTCCTTTAATTATTATCCCCCTCCTCCTCCTCCTCCCTCCCCTCGCTCCCTCCTCCTCCCGCCGCTCCGCCCGCCCTGCTCCTCCCGCGGCGGCCCCGCAGGCAGCGGTGGGGGCGGCGGGAGAGCGGCACCCCCCTCCCGATCCCGCCCCACCGCGCCCCCAGCCCTGCCCCGGGGCGCGGAGCGGGCATTGCCGGGCCGATCCCGATCCCCGATCCCTGATCCCGCTCCCGCTTCGTGCCGGGCGCGGCCGGCGGCGCAGGAGGCCGGGGCCATGGCGCTGGACGGGATCCGCATGCCGGACGGCTGCTACGCCGACGGGACGTGGGAGCTCAGCGTCCATGTCACCGACCTGGGCCGCGACGTCACCCTGCGGGTCACCGGCGAGATCCACATCGGCGGCGTCATGCTGCGCCTCGTCGAGAAGCTCGGTGAGTGCCCCGGGACCCCCCGCCCTGCGCGGCGCCCTGCCCGGCATCTTCCCGGCTCCCAGTGCAGTGCTCCAGTTCCCAGCACTCCCAAGCGCCCTGATTCAGCGCAGTGCTTTAACTCCCAGCACCCTGCTCCAGCTCCCAGCACCCTGTCCAGTGCAGTGCTCCAGCTCCCAGCACCCTGCTCCAGCTCCCAGCACCCTGCCCTGTGCAGTGCTCCAGCTCTCAGCACCCTGCTCCAGCTCCCAGCACCCTGCTCCAGCTCCCAGCACCCTGCTCCAGCTCCCAGCACCCTGCTCCAGCTCCCAACACCCTGCTCCAGCTCCCAACACGCTGCCCTGTGCAGTGCTCCAGCTCCCAGCACCCTGCTCCAATACGCTGCTTTAACTCCCAGCACCCTCTCTCAGTAGTGTGCTTCAACTCCCAGCACACTGCCCCAGTACAGTGCCTGAGCACCCTGCTTTAGCTCCCAGCGCCCTGCCCCAGTACCCTGTCCCAGTACAGTGCTCCAGCACCCTGCTCCAGCACCGTGCTTTGGCTCCCGGTATCCAGCTTTAGCTCTCAGCACGCTGCCCCAGCTTTGTGTTTTAACTCCCAGCTCTCTGTCCCAGTACAGGGCCTGAGCACCCAGCGCTGTGCCCCAGCTCCCAGCACCCTCTCCCAGTACTGTGTTTTGGCTCCCAGCACCCTGCCCCAGCTCCCAGCACCCTCTCCCAGTAGTGTGCATTAGCTCCCAGCACCCAGCCCACCCCAAGTCCCCGCACCCTGCTCTAGCCCCCCATTCCAGCCCCCGGCAGCCCCTCTCCCCCTGCATCCCTTCCAGGCTCCCCCCCTCTCCCCCTGCTCCTCCTCACCGCCTCGGGCCACAACCAGCCAAACTTTAACACCCCGGGGCCTCAGCCCCGTCCACCAGCTGCTTCACACCCAGGATTTTGCACAGAGCTGGGAAACAGCTTCACTTTTGGGATGGGGGTGGGGGGGCGGGTTGTGGGTGCTCTCCAGCTTACGGCAAAACTTAACCCCGAAGTTCCGTGCGAGGAAAAGCGCTTCCGAGGGCCCGCTGTGGCCATGGGGCGATCGGCAGGGGTGACGTGGGCGAGGGGGGGCTTGGGGGACACGGCGGTGTCCGGTGGCTTTGGGCGCACACCTGGACAAAGAGCCCGTTTGTCCGGGGCGCGTGGGAACGAACGTGCGGCCGGACCCGCCGGGATGTGGCGGAGCAGCTTCGGGCGAAAAGAAAAGCGGGGAGCTCCGAAACCTCCTCCCCCCCACACCTTGTCTCTTTATCGGCGCTTTATGGCTCGGGCGTGTTTACTCAGCGGTGCAGCCCGGGCTGATGGCTGTAATTGCTCAAATAAAATATTAATTGCGAGGTCCCGCGCGTGCCTGCGGCCGTGGGAGTAGCGGAGCTGTCAGCTGCGCCGGCAGGTCCCGCTCCGCTGCTCCTGTGGCTTCTTCCCCCATCTCCCCCCCGCCCCCGTGCTTAGGTTTTGATTTATTAATTATCTGAAGTTGCAGGAAGGAAGAGACGGATATAAATACGCTCCTTTCGAGAGGAAGCGAGCGCTTGCATCAAAGAGTCTCGTGCTGGAGTTGGTCTGAACTCTCCAAAAAGTTGATTTTATTTTAGTGTTTTTACTTCAGTGCTGGAGCTGCAGAAAGTTTTGCTGGAGTTGAGCGCTCGGGAGGAAAGAAACACGCAAAACAAACGAGCTTTCTAGAAATGATAAAAAATCCACCCATGAATGAACAAGTGATGCTCCCCTTGGTGTGGAGCCTTGTGGGGGTGTCGGGAGACGCCAAAGCAGAGGGAAAGCCAGGCATGTGCACGGGGCCGGAGCCCAGCAGGGACCTAAATTAGCTCCTGACGTAATGCATCCCCCCCCAAATGTTTGCCCGGATCCTCTCCACTTGTTAAATTAGGGATTGTATTAGAGGGAAGGAATGCAGCAGCCGCAGCGCCGGGGGAGAGGGGATGGTGCTCCCCGGGGGGCTCAGCCCCAACGCTCCCCTCCCCGGGATGGTCAAGACCTGTGGATATTCCAGCTGTTGCCTTCCCGTTCCCCTTGCCTTTTGTCGCCCAGCCAAGCTATACGTATTTAGTTCCTTTTAGTCTTCCTGCGTGTCAGCTCTTCCAGCCCTCTCATTATTTTTATGGCTCTTCTTTGAGCTCCTGCCAGTTTATCGGGGTCGGGTTTTAGCAGAGCAGGGTGGGATGGGACTCACTCCTCGTCCTCCCGTGCTCCTCAATGCCTTCCTTCATCCAGCCTCTGCGCTGCCTCGTCTCCAGATAAATTAATTTTGCAATTTTTCCACGTTGAAACCCTTCCCCTGCATTTTTAACCTGTTCCTCCCCGCCGTTCCTCTGTCCCTTCCTTATTTTAACAATTCCCAGCGTTAAAAAAATTACGTCTTGCCAAGCAGATTTTTTTCTGTGAGTTTTAAGGAAATTTCCTAAAAATAAAGCTGCCTTGCAGTTCTGGGTTTCCCTGTGAGATCTCCTATGAACTTAAACGTTGCAGGGGGAGGAGGGAAGGGAGTCTGTGCCTTGGGCAGGGGCTTGCCTGCTCCACCTCTTAGGACAAATCCTGAAGGTTTTGTGCTGCCAGAGGGCAGGGAAAGGAGATTCCTGTGGCCTGCCTGGAGTTTCACTGAAGTTTTGGACATTGCTGGGAATTTGCAGCCAGTCTCTGGTTGTAGGATGCTGGTAGAAGCTCTTCAGCCATTAGTGAGCAGGGGGGAAAATACCTCCCCTCCTCCCAGCAGCAAGGAGAGCTTGGAAAAAGGAAAAAAAAAATCTAGATTTACATCAGTATTTTCTGATGCTTGTAGGATTGCAGTAAATACCTCTTTGCCTTGGGGAGAGTTGGGATGAAACAGGAACACAGCAAAGTCTCTCCTCCTTAATTGTGAGGCTGCAGGTATCCATAAATCCTATGGACTCGGTCCTTGCCTGCGCAGAGCGGCTGCGGTCGGATTGTTTGGGAATAGGCAATTAAAATCTGTCTCTAATGCAGGCAGGGATTGGAAAAAGCCCAAGCAGCAGATAGGGATTCTGGTTACTCAAGTGAATTGCAATGACCTGTTGGCTCCCCTGTTATTCATCACCCGCTGGATTAAGCCACTTCGTTAATTGAGCCGTGCCAAGTTCTTGGCAAAGTCATCCCTGAAAAATAGGGAAAAAACTGCTGAGGTTTGAAGAGCAGTAGCACTCCAGTTGCTCCACATGGGTTGGGGTCTGTACTGGAAACACCCTGGTGTTCACCCAGGGTTTTTTAGGAATTTTGCCACTATTGACTTAAAAACAAAAAAAAAAAAAAATGAAGCTTAAAATCACTGGGAGCAAAGGAAGGAAGGAAGTGAACGCAGCTTATTGTTGTTGTCAACTTAAGGCTGTTTTAAACACATGGAAGAAAAAAAATCCTGCTGTTTCTAAATGTGCTCGGGAGGAGCTCTGTGGGATATATGGAATTCTGTGGGATATATGGGTTTGGGGGATGCTCTGTATGGTCGTGGGAATAAAAGAATAACTGACAGAAACAGGGCAGGGGGGACAAATGGTGTCTGGCAGAGGAGCAGCTTAAGACGGATGACCTAAATGTGCACTGAGCAGATTCAGAAGGTCTGTGGATGGAAGTTTTGTGATGGAAATGCGGATTTCTCTCCAGGATTCTTCTACAGGCAGTGTAGGGGCGGCAGCCAGCTCCAGTTCTGGGGGCTTGCTGGGAGCACTGGGAGAGGACTGAGCACCTTTAGGGGTTTGTACCTGAGGAAAAGAGATAAGTGAATGAAAAAAGCCCAGCTAGGTTTAGAATTAGAGCAGTCCTTCTGACCAAAAGGTGTTTGGGAGGTGCTGCCCTGTGACATGGTGACATCTGTATTTTATTGAGGTGGGGTGGGCAGGAGGGCTGACATGGATCCAAAACAAACCCTCAGCCCTGAAAGAGAGTGACTGATAATGGCAGGCAGTGATGACATCTAAGGCCTTGGGTTTTTTGTGAATCACAGCTTGGATAAGGGTTTGGGCAACTGGTTTAACTCCACTGTTCCCTTTGGCAGCTCCTCCGCTATCTCTTTTCCATCACTTGGGAGAGGGTGGGATGTCACCTGAGGACTGGCACAGGAGTTGTCCCATGCAAAGTGTTTTGTTTGTAGCACTTTAAGCTCTTTCTTTTTGTAGTTTTAGTCTGCAAATGTGTCTGGGATTCACCTCAGGGGCTCTTTTCACCATCAAATGGACTTTGCTCTGTTATCTTTCAGGGATTTCAGCTCTACTCCTGGCAAGATCAATTATGAATATTAGTGTTCTTCTCCCTGTGAAGTCTCCTTTCCTTAATGGACCCCTGAAAGGGTTATGAATAAAACACCAACAAAGTGCAGCGTCATTGATTTGCCCGGGTTTGTGTTTGAGGTTTTGCAGTGCTTATAAACACTACAAGCCCTCGTGAGAGTTGCTGGGGAAATTCTTTGCCTTTAAACTGGAATGAACCCTTTGCAACAGCTTAAGGCTATGAGAGAGAAATTCAGAGTCCTTGTCCCAGCTCATTTCTGTTGTAAACCCAAGGCAGGATGAGGCTGCAGGGCTTGTCTTGCAGGTGGCTTGCTCCTTGTGCTTTGGACTTTGCTGGAATGCTGCATCCAGCTCTGGGGTCCTCAGCACAGGAAGGACATGGACCTGTTGGAGCAAGTCCAGAGGAGGCCACAAAGGTGCTCCGAGGGCTGGAGCCAGACTGGGAGAGCTGGGGGTGTTCACCTGGAGAAGAGAAGGATCTGGGGAGACCTGAGAGCCCCTTCCAGGGCCTAAAGGGGCTCCAAGAGAACTGGAGAGGGACTTGGGACAAGGGTCTGGAGGGACAGGATAAGGGGGAATGGCTTCCCACTGTCAGAGGGCAGGGTTAGATGGGATACTGGGAAGAAATTCCTGGCTATGAGGGTGGTGAGGCCCTGGCACAGGTTGCCCAGAGAAGCTCTGGCTGCCCCATCCTTGGAAGTGTTCAAGG